AGCAGATCCCTGAGGCTTGGGGGCTTGACATAACGACCCATCAAGTTACCCCCAATGAAAACAATCGTTGCAATGATAAAGGCAACTAAAGGGAAAGAAAAGCTTGCAGTGAAAGAGACCGATTCGACCAAAATCGGAGTAACAATACCACAAACAATAGAACCAAGATTGATAGAAGCATAGAAATAGGTGTAATACCTTGTAATAAGATCTTTATGCTCCTCAGGATGGAACTGTTGAGCTCCCATGACGTTCACACAACTCTTAATTCCACCCGCACCAAATGCGATTAGGAAGAGTAGTGAGACATGGATCATCCACGGCTGACTAATCGAATGTATCGTAGACAGCGTTAGAAGAGCCAAACCCGCCATGTAAACGAAGGAGAATGCCAGAATAGTGAGGTAGAGTCCAAGTATCGTATCCGATATCACAGCAGAGAGAAGTGGAGTAACATAAAGGATAGCGTTGAACGTAGAGATATACGAATTAGCACCAGCGTCATCAACCCCAAGATACTCCTTGAGGAAAATCTGAAGGTTGGGCATCAACCCGTAGAAGGCCAAACGTTCACATAATTCCTGTAGTAAAATGAACAAAACAGCCTTGGTCATAGGATGCTTGTAATAGTAGTACACGTTACCCGAAACATCAGTCCACGAGTACGATTTACCGCTGTTGCTACCAGATACGGACATACTTGAAAAATACGTTAGGATTAACAAGCTTCAAATATAATGATGATGTCAAGTGCTAGAGTGGAAACCACTCTTTCCCTAGCGTCGAGTGTGTGAGCTAATGATATGTCTCTGTTCACTGTCTCCTTCATGTTCGGCCTGAATCGGTTTATCCGACGAAGGTTTCTTGGGAGAGAAAGCAACACTGTAGGCGTGTGAAAGAGTTTCTTGCTGAGGCCGCTTCCGACGCGAGTAGACCCGGAGCGGCTGACCGTGATAACTGTTCACTGAACGGTTGCATGTCGCTCACTTGCTAGGGTAACCCAGCGGGTCATTTTCAGCCGTTGGTACATAATCCTATGACATACACCCCTCCGCACATTCTTAGCATATCCCGTTTTCGACTCGTGCACAGTCACCTCTACGAACACCATCTTGCGGCTCAGGAAAGTATGGTGAGCATACTATGCTCTTATGCTCCACATGATATAACCTCCAAGCTTCCTGGTGTAACTTCTGGTAGTTAATGAGAAGTTGCAAAATCAGCATACATGTTTTAAAATCGCGCCTCGAGGTACCAACTCTTACTGGGGGAGTATATTTATAACTTCGCATCTAATCTGAAGCTACTGTATACCTATGAATCAGCCTCATAATAAGCGGGACCCAGCCAAAACTGACCAGCACAGCGGACGAGCACGAGAGAATACCGGGATAAGGTGTAAAGCGAGCTCAAAATGCACTAGCAGCCTGCTAGTAGCTGGCCTGTGCCTAACCATTGTGAAATGAGCTGAGTACTTTTCAGGTATACCCTAAGCAACTCCTCAAGTTGCTCTCCAACATGAGACGCTTTGAATTTAGTATCCTCGTGATACAGGTCCAATGTTCAGGCGATGCGCATGCGTGTATCATGAACATAAGAAACAGCCGCATAATAGCATCAGTATTGGGGACTTGTCCTCTTAAG